CTTACGGGGTAAAGTATATATTTGAAAAAATTGTTTTTGATTGCTGAAAGAAAGAAACGAAAATTATTGTTGCCGATAGATAAATTCATTACGCTCACTAAACTGAGTTGTGCTTTCTTTGGTATCAGATTTTATTTCTTTTTTTTTAAACAGCCAATTCTTGTAAACTATGATCAGTAGTACATGCACTACATTTGTTATTACTGTATTTATCAGTATTCGAATTACAATCTTAGGATGTAATTTTGTATATAATTATCTTTATGAAAAATATCGACTGCTCCTCATCGCTGCTATTCAACAGTTCGCAATCTTTTAAGCCTGACAGTAGGTTTCTTCTTCAATGGTATATGATTTACTTAAAAATTACGCTGTCTTTTTTAGGCATTGCAAAACGTTGGAGCAACAATTTTAACACAAAAAAGAATTTTCACCATTTTTCACAAAAAAGAAAAGTATTTGGAAGTGAAAAAGTAACATTCGAATTTCACACCCTTTCTTATACTTCGTTCTTGAGGAAAGATTTTAAACTTGAATGCCGGTCCCAAAATGTTTCGTTCTAAACATTCTAAACTTCTACGGTCAGAAACAGTTGACACATAGTATAGCAGCGATCGTCGCCTAAAAAAAGATTTCCTTACAAACTCGCGTGGCAGTCAACTTGTTAAAAGAAACTTACATTCCACTAAGAATACATAATAACATTAACATTGCAATATCTAAGAAGATATCTTCATTTCTTCTTCCCTAAAACTTGAGTCTCACCCGTTCTTATCCTGTTCTGTATTACTTGATATGCATCAAATTATTTGTAAATTATTTAAAAAAAGTGGGAATGTCCCCCTGAATCAGCGAAATCTTAGATAGAATGTCAGTTAGTGTTTCCTTTGCTGTGATGGGTCAGTTCTTGTGCAGGTTGGTATAGAGTTAGAAGGGAAAGTTTCGGCAGGTAGTTTGCGACAGTTGATCAGTAAGACGAAAAGAATCCATATGTGGAAGAATCTATTTTAAAATTTAGGATAGCTCATTCTCTGAATGCATTGAGGAAGGGGAAAGTAACTCAATTATTTTCTAAATTTTCAGAACCTGGAGTTGAAAAGCTAATAGGATGATACTCGGAGAAATGTGATGTATAAGGTGATGTTTAAGAATTAGTGTGTTTTTTTAATAATCAAATTTTCAATACGAAAATAGACTATCCGAATCCATCCTCGTCCGAAGTAGCTTAGATAATAGAAGCCAATACTATACACAAAATTTTGAAAGCTGATTGAAGAAGGCAAATGGTTTTTTTTCTTTCAGTCATCTATCAATCTAATACAGACATGCTTTTTGAATGTGGAGACCATGAACACGATTACTTTACCCCAGGGAGAAATTTTCATGCTAACTAAATATTCGACTAGAAAACAGATTTAATTTCTTCTTATATCAGCTAACGGCACTTAAAAGAAACTGGGGTGTATGTTATTAGCTGATAATTTATATATGATGGCGGAGTTATCTAAAGAGACTGCTACAGCTCGGGGGATCGTTTGGATCACTGAAACTCACTTTCATTTCTTCCCTGCATGAGTTAACGTAGACTTTCCGTTAATGGATAGTAAGATATGGAACTCGATGTCTTCGTAAAGCTGATTACTCTCTAGAGACGTGAACCATAAGGCTGACAGAAAGTTCAGCAGAATGAAAATGGGCACAGTACTGTTAACTGTGTTTCCCTGAGTCAAATATGTCTCTTAAGTTTGCTAGTTGTCCTTAGGTGCAATATTACTTTAAAGAAATTTTCGCTGGTTTAAGTCTTACAATGTGGAGACATAATCTGAACTACATTCCTATTAATATTAGTGTAAGTTCTATAGTATCGAGAAATGCCTAGTGCTTGCGCGGTAAGATAGCTTCGCCACAATGTGGAGTTAAGGTTGCGAGAAAGTGGCAGGAAAAGCAGGGTTGCCAGATTTGGCGCGAAATCGCCCGTTTGGCTGTATTTGGCGACAAAACTGGCGATATGTCACAGACGGAAAGAGAACTTTCTAGAACGCATTTTAGCGGTTTTCTCGGGAATATCCTCGAAGATAAGCTATATATACCCTGCCTGTTCGGAGAGAAAGTAGTGTTTTGAGTTCAGAGATTAGCGTGAGAGCGATCGACCGAGTCGGGAGCAGTACTTTAGTGCTCTGCCGTGCAGATTGTTTCAGCTCGTTTTTCGTACTTTTTCGACGAGTGTAAATGTGTCTTTGGAACTGTACTGTGTAATAGTACTTACTGGCGAATAAATTATATTCTGATTCTTCATCAAGTGTTATCAATTTCTCCAAACCGATGAACCTGTAGAACGCAACAATAGCATTGTGTCGCTATGAATTTTATGAAAACTAATTCCTAACACCTTCAGACAATAGACTTTTATAAAAATTAAACTTACGACTTTCTGATCTACTCCAATAACTACTCAGCCTAATTAGCGAGATTTTCTGGCTGATGAGATGGCTAAAATTCGAAACACACTAGGGCTATCTGCCTAAGGGAGAGATGCCTTCGTGGAGGGCTTTCTAAGGGAAACTGGCTCGCATACACGTTACACATGTCCTAGGAGAAGGGATGCCTTCGAGGAAGAGTTTCGAATGGAAACTGGTATTCACGTTTCACGTGAAGAAAAAAAAGACGACAATCGTGTAGCTAGGTTGTTCGCCTGGCATCAAACTCAGGTCTAATTTCCAGAGCCGCAGATGAGGCTTAACGTCAAAAAGAGAACATAAACTAATTACTAAGCGTTACCTACTGGCGAGCGTTGGAATCATTTCGTTTACCTGCAAACTGAGGCTACAAATTAAGCATTAGTGCACATGTTAACAGTAAAGCAGCCGCTTTCAAAATAAATGTAAAATAGTAAACGTAAATTAAATCTATATTTAATCAATATTCCAAAACTTTTCATTGGATATATACAGTAGGTTTATGTGACTGGATTTTCTGAAGGAGTTAAAGTGCATATTTAAATCTGAAAATTTTCTCGACATGCCTTTTGGGGTTACGTGATGCAGCAGTGCGTAGCAATGCATTGATCTGGAGCCTGGTTTAACAATATTGCAAACATGGTATGTCTAACTGCAAGAATGTCCTTCTTCATTCGTAGTGAAATTGCCTGGAAAAATAATATAACTGAATTAGTCATTAAATTTCATCTTAAGATTAACGAATTTTCTTTTACTCCGTATTAAATATAAATATACGATACGTTCAAAAATACAATATTTAATGAAATTTTTAGGATTCATATTGAAAATTTCTTTTAATTAATTATTTCCATATCGAGGTATAAAGAAATTTTTAAAATATGAAAGACTATCATTTTTCCAGCATTATCTGAATTTGTAATCTCGTTGGCAGGAAAAAAAAAGTTTATAAAATTGAAGCAATTACCAAAAAAATTATTACATTTCTTCACATTTATGAAACATGAATTCAATAAGAATAATTCTCCGCTCTCGTTATTTGAATATGAATAGAAAAAGAATCACTTTCTAGTTCCTAAAGATAAGTATATCAACACACGAATGTACATATCTCACTATTTTTTTCTTATTTTAACAGCTGGTTTGCTTATTTGATTTGAGATATTTTGAATATTAAATGAGCATTTTGAATACAGACCTTTTAAATAAAGTTTTTACTATTTCTTCAAGTATAAAAACTGCCTTTAAATATTATATCGGCTTTTATGCTCTTGATGTGATATAAACTGCTTATTGATTCCTTGCAATGTGTATTATCAATTTATTCCCCTAAGTAATACTTTTAAATGCAAATGCATTCAGTACTAAATTCCAATGCATTGTAACACATTTCGTTCTTAAATGGCGTCTGTTTTTGAATCATAACATTTCTTGGGTACTTCATTATGCTATTTTTGCTTCTCGCGAGCCTATGAAACACCGACAGACTCATAAACACTCATAGGCGGGAATGTATATGCATACCTGCTGTGACAAAAATATATGACATTAAATGATATCCTGCCTCTTAGACTGAAATGTTCTTAAGTAAAACATGAAACTGTAACTAAGATCTTTAATATAAATATGGCTGCTTTACTTGATTTGCATCTAATACCATGATAAGTATCTAAAAGTTATCCTATAAATTAGGGTTACTTTTTCAGCTATAAAGGTAGGTATTTAATTATGGTAATTTTCTTACAAGAAGTTTTTATGGGTTATATATATTGCATGGTAAAAACTCGGTGGTTTGCTATACGTTGGGAAATGCAGAATATACAATGTAAGCTAACGCATTTTGTCGCTACAAATCGAATCTAGTGAACAGCAACTGTCAGCAGCAACAGCAAATCCAGGCGCTGTTAAGCTGTAAAATCATTCGAGGAATGCTGTTTTCAAAGTAATCACAGAAGGACTCATTGCATCCTTGTGTTTCTTAGATGCATTCTGGGTGTTCATTTAATTACTGTTACTAACTTATGATTAAATATGTTTCGCTGTACAAACGTTTTGCTGTTCCTAGCTTTTGTAATTGAAACACCATTTTCTTTATCTTGCTGTTTATTATCGAACAAATCCACAATACAGCAAAAAATGAATATGTTTCACCCACTTCACATTATAGGCGATATTTATTTATGGTGAAAATAATTTACTGCAATATTGCCATTTTCTATTTCAAAATTGCAAGTTTAGAATTGTTAACATATAGCCATTCTTGTTGAATAATTTTATACCATGAATGCTTTTTATGACACTGTAAGACTTAGTATTGTTTTAATGTAATTTCAGAGTCAATTTAGCAGTATTGCTGAAATTCCTTATTTTGGGACAATACAATCAAACGAAAGAATATAAGAACAGGTGATAGAAAATTACAAAATCATTTAATGTAATAGGATACTAATTAGAATAAAGTCATTATCTCTGGACGGTAGCTGGTGCGAAATTGACTTCATTTATGAAGTAAATAAAGTGACGTCGAATTCTTTTTTCTTTCAGTTGTAAAGCTAAGGAATATTTGTCAAAATTACCAAAGGTGAGCATAGTGATACCCTTCCATAATGAGCACTGGACCACTCTTCTTAGGACAGTTACAAGCGTGGTGAGTCGTTCGCCACCTGAACTCATCCAAGAAATAATTCTTGTGGACGATTTCAGTACTAAAGGTACGTGTCTTTCAATTCTTCCTTTTTCTTCTTAACCATTTAATAGACAAAAAGATGCTTAATAAAACGTTAAGCATGTTTAATAAAAAGTAAAGCAATTGATCAAATCTTTTTTTAAAAGTTGTAAAGCATTCAGATATAGTAGGTGTGGGTATTTGCTTATACTATATCAGATTTCATAAGTATATATTTACTAATGCTTATGATAGTTACAAATATGCATTTGTATTATTAAAAAGGATTATAAACACTTACCTTAAATTATATTCCTGGGATTAATAAGTTACTGCGCTTGAAATGTTTTATTAAATTAAAAATAATCCTTTTAAAGTTTAAAATTGTTTGAAATACTTATCATAATTTACAGAGAAATGCATTCACTTTTTAAGCATACTTTGTAATTACAAAGCAATTTAACGTAAAAACTATTAAGGAATATTTTTAAGCTAAAATCAAACAATTAGATAACTGCTAATTTGGAAGAGGCAAAACCGGAAGCGCAACGTGATCTTAATTGCGTAATTAGAAGTACTCTAACCTTAAAAATGAAACGAGTATCTTATCTTATAAGGGTTGTTTGGTAACTAAAGGGACTGAAGAAAAACCCATGTTTTCTATACATGCACTTGCCTATTGTACATCTTCATGCACATAGTTATTCATCTGTTTCATTCTCGGATAGACTTACGACTTTGAAACGTGAATGAGTGCAGAGATGGTTCAGCGGTGAAATCCCTTATGAATTTCCCAAATTCTTCTGGTCAGAGCAATTTCACTGTCGAGCAATGTACTTAACTCTTCCCATATATATGTTATTAGATTTTCCTATCATCATATATGATTACGATGATAGGATTCCAATGTACAATAACTTTATCTCTTCAGTCTTCTTCCCCAAAAGTTCCAGAGTTTCGCAATAATGAGCAGAGTTCACCATGGCGCCTTTTGGCATCTTTTGGTAGATTTTAAGGAATTGAGTACCATAACTAACATGCTTTCGTAATTCATCAAGATCTTCGCTTATCAAGACAAGGCTTAAATGGGTTACACGCAATGTCTGGAGAACCTATTGGCATATACATGAGCTTTACTTTGTTAAAATACAGAGTATTGTATGTCATTCAGGAATGGTATCAAAGTGGGTTGTCGAACCTCTCTAAAGTCTCATACTGCTACCAATGTTCTGATGATACAGACAAAATGTGATATACTACCATGTGTAATAATGACCCGCAAACTCACCCTCCTTGACTGATGATATGATGCCCACTGATGAAACCACCGTATATCCTATCGTTAAGAAGTCATCATTTACGTACCAATAATCAGTTCAGTACTCAGAGACAGAAAAGGGATTCGTAGCTAAAACCAACATACGCACTCTGTAAGTGTAGCTCAAATGACTTAGGTAAAATGTCCGATGAATGCTGCTTTGTCTCACAGGGATTAGAAGCCTACGTAATGTTTATCTACTATGCAAGCGTGCCTTCAGTTTAGAGTTTGAGTTGTTTTGGGATCTGGCATATCGAATGTTACTTCTAGCTTTCGGTGATGATGATACGTGTCAAACAGTCCGCCTGTTAACACATTCTGACGTGTCCAGTCTTTGAAATGGATGTTATAAGGTATTTCTCCCGCCTTCCTAGCGTGCCTTCGTGGTGTAGTGGTCAGCACACTGATCCGGTATTTCAGAGGTCCGTAGTTCGATACTCGGCGAAGGCGTTTGCTGTTTTTCATCTTTCCGACTTCCAAAAATCTTAACGTCTCTACAGTGGTGCCCGAACTAAAAGGGTCGTGGATGATGAATCTCCACACCCAGGATTTGGCGACTGGGTCCCCTAAAAACCCCAGTCGCTTTTTAAAACGGGGGGTATATAAGGTATTTCTCCCGCCTTCCTAGCGTGCCTTCGTGGTGTAGTGGTCAGCACACTGTTCCGGTATTTCAGAGGTCCGTAGTTCGATACTCGGCGAAGGCGTTTGCTGTTTTTCATCTTTCCGACTTCCAAAAATCTTAACGTCTCTACAGTGGCGCCCGAACTAAAAGGGTCGTGGATGATGAATCTCTACACCCAGGATTTGGCGATTGGGTCCCCTAAAAACCCCAGTCGCCTTTTAAAAGGGGAAGTATATAAGGTATTTCTTCCTAGCGTGCCTTCGTGGTGTAGTGGTCAGCACACTGAGCCGATATTTCAGAGGTCCGTGGTTTGATTCCTGGCGAAATCGTTGCATTTTTTCCATCTTGTCTGCTTCCCCCCAAAAACTCTAATGTCTCTACAATGTAAGAAATGAAAATAATTCTGTTAATGTGGGCTTTTTTTTCCCATGGCACCGTTGCTTCTGATATGGACGTAAGAAACATCATGTTGCCACTGGTGCGAACAACGTGCAACATTTCGTACATATGCGCAGAGATCATACTTCACTGTGACTTACAATTTTGCCTCTCTGAATAGCATCTAAATGGTGGTAAGCTCGTTATTTTTGACGTCTTGTCCATGTAATTCATGGAAGAATGGTTGACAGAGCCTCAAGAAAGTTGGACTTCAACTTCCACTCCAAATTTTAGGAAGAGCACCCCGGGAGGGGGGGGTGATCCAAGTGTCTACCACACGAGAGGACTTTCGGCTCGCCATATATAGATGAACTTGTAGATGGCATGAATAGAACCTTCACTAAACATACATACCAAGTCCGAAACGCCCAAAAAATTTCACTTTACAGAAATATATCATTGTCTTTTTTGCTTTTTCAACTTTTGCCTCAAGAAAGTGTGAATTAAAAATCTCTGGATTCACATCATTTACATAACTTCAAATGATATACTTGCTTTGCCATATGCACGTTTTTAAAATAGTTCATTCTAGATGGCGCAATTTTAGTGTTGAGCAGTGTGTTTTTAGAAACGAATTCAAAAGAACATTAAATGTGTGTGCTTAACATTTTCTCATAAAAGTGTATCAAATCCTAAATACATTCACGTCATAAAATCAAAATCTCATTTCCAACTACATTAAACAAGTTTTCTCTCTTTTCCACATCGAAAAATAATGCATTATCTTTTAAAATATTTAATAATCCTATTTCAAGTTTTGAGATTAATGATTTGAGACCAAAGGAATCATTTAGGGAAGGAATTTAAATTTCCTGCAAAACTATTAGAGAAATGAATTCTTTTGGGGCAAGATTAAAAAATATGCTTTAATGTTATTTTGTGAAATGTCATTCGAACATTTTGTAAAGCTAAGAAAGCATTACCTTTGCTTGCAGCAGTCACGCAGTTATTTTTGAACATCTCTCAAGTATACACGATATTAAGTGTTCGTTTCCCACAGTTGATTTTTTTATGCAGTGTTTAAAAATTTAATATACGTTATATCAACTAATTATTCACTTTTTTTATGCAGTGTAACTCCAATATCCCAGATATTTCTTGATCCATTTCCCAAATATAGCTGGATAGCTCCAGTTTACCACAGTGCTTGTTCTTTCTCCTCTATAACATCTTCTCTCCATTTTAGCACTGTAAGGGCAAAAATAAATTGAGTGCTTAGTTTTAGTATTTACATAAATGAAAATGTCGTTGTTTTATTTTTAATGAACTAGAAGTAGATTACGCATTTAACTAAATAAAAATAATTTCATAACTTAGTTTTAAAAACAGTTTTTCTTTGGTTTAAATCGAAAAAAATGTTATTTTGACTGTGTAATTTTTATTAATATAAAGAGTAAAATAAAATTTCATCGCTTTGGTTACACTTGATACGTATTCAGGCTACAAAAAACCAGTTATTCGTATTTTTTGAATATTTAGATAGGCTACTTCTTATGTTTTGCTTTAAGAACAAAAAACGCATGGCTATTTTAGAAATCAAATGCAATTATCACAGTAAACTCAAAAAGCATATGCAAACAAAACACAGGCATAATGTGATAGAAAGAGTTTAAGTTAGTTTAATTTTTTGTTCTCCTCGCTTCTGTTAAAATTTAGACTTATTGCACTTACAGAGATAACTAGCCAATACATGCAAAAGAAATAAAGAGAGCAGCCCTTTGTCAGAAAGGCTTTATGATGGGTATAAAGATTACCAAAGGAAATAAGTTTTAAAAAATACCAGAAACTTTGAATCATTCAGGTGTATAATTTGATGTACGACAAATTTAGCTATCGCAGCAAATTCTATATTTCAAACTACGTATTTATTCCATAACTCGAAAAACAACTGCATAGATTCTAAATTTAAATAGTTTTCTTAATTTTCTCATAAAGCATGCTTTCAAGGTTATTCTGACAAAAAAATCCATACAGTATTCTTATGGTTGTCAAAATGCACAATATTAATGAAAATGTGAGCTATTTATCTACGACTGCTTTTTTTAAAGGAATATTGAAATCATTTAAACTGAAACCTTTAAAACCAATTAAACTGAAATTTTGTTGGAAATTTTGAAAATAATAAATTCAGGTATTTATTAGAAATTTTAAATCCAATAATGTAGATATTTATAGGAAATTTTAAAAACCAATTAAAGCAGCTAACCTGTGTTATTCTTTACACCTTATCTATTCTCCATTTTGCCCAGAGGCAGTTTTGTCTTTACACACATATACTCACTTTACCCTTTTCCTAAGAGGAGAAATTTTAAATTTTTTAAAAGTATTCCATCTGCCGAAAATGCGAAATTCTCTTGGGAATCTGTATTTCTTCTATCTTCAAAAGAAAATGTGCAAGAAAATTGTCGGATTGATGTAAAGTTCTTTTATATTCTAAAATGAATATAAAGTAAATGATGTGATGAACGAAAAATAGATATCCCCCCCCCAGTTTGGAATTCTTCGTTTGCATCTTTGTTGTTGCAAACAACTCCTGATGAAGATGCAAACATTTACTGCAGTTACTAATAATTCTAAATACTAAAATCTCTTTGATAAAGAAAGAATTTATAAATAGTGTTATAGAAACATACCTAACATCTTTAATTGCAAAACAAAACATATTATT